TGAATTTCTGGAGATTTAAAGAATACTCGAACTTGGATCTCTTGAATTGCGCGCCTGTGCTTTATTCACACGGCAATTGCGACTGTTGGAGTGACACCACGAAAATCATACGCAGGATTGGTGGTGTTGGTTCAATTTTTCAACAACAATTTCATGCGATGTAACTTGTTTATAAACATGTTTTGCTCGTTTAACTTGTTCAAGCAAACTTAACATGTTTAACTCGTCAATGTGAACGTACTATTATGAAAGAAGTTTTACTATCTTAGCCAGAATCACCCTGTTAGGTTCTATTCATATTCTCCCTACCACATAAACACACCCGATCCTTCACAAAGTCTTTATTGCTGCTGTTTTATCTTTGATGTAATTGTGGCACATATCACGTGCAAACAGTTAACCAGTTTGATTTTCTTTCTTTTGATGCATCCTTTTAGCTAGTCAGGGTAACATTTTGACTTGAGTCTCCCTTGGAGTGGTAATATTTGCAGAGATTTTGCGTAACAATAAAAACATCAATTTGCTTTAATGCTACTTTTAATGACGAACGTAAAGTAAAATTGTAGATTAGAAGTACGCAATATCAAACCATCACAATTAACCATCAACTGATCTAACTTCGCTCACTAGCAATAATTGCTTGTTACTCATACGCCATGTAGATCCTGGGCGCCACAATATTATTTATGACTTTATTGTTGTAAGTTACGAGCGAAGCCATGGACACTTGAATGCAAGCTATAAAATTTGTAGCACGTTCATAAAAGTTTAGCTCAAGCACAGACACGCACACACACCTAGAACTGATGAGTGAGTGGGGGGAGTCATTTCAAAAGCAATAAAGGTGAGCGAGCAACATTAGATATGAACAGAATAATTTCAGTAACAACAAAGCAGGCGATACACAAAGAAATAAACAAATACGAAAACTTACTACTTTGTGTTGTTCGTATTTTTGGCCATGTCTGCCTCTAAGTGTGGTGCTGTCGGAATTATGATTAGAGTATTTCCGACGCCAACGCGTCACGTACGCAGAAGTAGCAGGAAAAAGAAGCAAAAGAAGTAGAAATAGTAAAAAAAAATTGGAAAAATAACACAGCGTCTAACAATTACGGCTTAGACGCCTGAAATGGCTTCATTATGCAATGCATGTGCCGTACGTCCCTCAAATAGGCAAGAACGTTGCCGAAAAAACTTAATTGGACTAACAAGAAAAATACAAAAATTTTAACAAATAACTTAAATTAGTAAAACAAAAACATAAATTACCTAAAAACAAATAAAAAATTATGCAGCAGTCAAGAGACACAAACAAATTAAGTATTTAATTTAATAAAACCTCTAAAGGTTGCTTGCGTTCGCTGCGAATTTTTTAGTTTCTATAAAAACGTCCCCGCTGACCACAAACGGTATCAGTTCACAGCTAACTCTATCTAGCACAGCAACAAACTCAACTAAATAAACTACCATGTCTCGCTTTTTCCAAATCCTGCTCATCGCCTGCCTGGCCGTCGCGCTCTGTGCCGCTGAAGCGCCACGCTACCGCAGCCGCAACGGCCGCCTACAACTATCCAAGCAACACAGTCGTTTCTTGGCACGCCAGGAAGTCGCCGAAGAAGCTGGTGTTACGCCATACCCCTCCGCCAAAGAATTGATACCCGAGATACCATTCGATGAAGCTGCAGCTGCTGCTGCTGCACCGGAGGTACCCGTTGCGCCTGAAGCCGATGTAAATGTTTCTGTGAATGTTGATCTCCCTGCCGAACAGCAACCAGCTGATGACGAGGAAGAGGCGGTCGATGCTACTGCCGCTGATGATGCTGAGGGTGAACACGAGCCCGATCTTATCTATGGCCCACCAGAGGCTGAGGATGTGCCAGCAGTGAACGAAATCACACCCGTTGAGGAAATCGAAGCCACCATTGCCGAGGAAGAGGAGCAAGCCGAAGCCGCCGAAGCTGCTGAGGAGGAAATCCAATCTGCGCGTTTTACATCTGGTCGTCGCTTCAACGTACGCAAATCTTCGGCCCGTCCAGCCAAGTTGCGCGCTCCTCCTTCTCCCCGTGCAGGCACCACTGCCGTCAAGTCCGCACGCATCGTCAAAGCTAAGACATCGACCAAAGTCCGTCCCGCTCGCCTACAGCAATTGCCACAACAACAGCAACTCTTCGTTCCGCAACAATTTGCTGCGCAGCAGCAGGCACAGCAACCCATCTTCTACTATTCTGCCGCTCAATTGCAACAATGGTAAAATTGGATGCCAATTAATCGGAAAAGGTTATAAATATTTAGTGTAAAAAATTGTTAACAATTAGAACTAAAACAAGAGGAGTTTATTGAGATATTCATATGTTGTTAAAGATTTTTCTAGACTAAGAATAAAAACATAAAGAAATACAAAATTTTATTCTAAACTTAAACTAGCTTGAAAACTGATAGCAAGGAATATATATCTCCTATATGATGACATTTAAGTGAAGCTATATATTTCTACACAGGGTTATGATGATAATTTAAAAAGGAAGCTTACCTCTACTCCCTGGCAAGGTTTTTGCATTGACGATAAAAGGCTCATCCTAAAACAAACAAAACAAGAAAAGACAGTGTTGTCTTTGGCTTTGCCGAAAGCTTCATACCCTTCATCAATATGAACAAATTCTACTTCAACTTACTTATTACTTTTAATTTAAGTTTGGGAAATAGCAAATTTGTTTACCTTCAGTACATACAAACATAGATAGAGGAATTAAATAACAAAAACGCATGGAGGATATGCTATCTTATAAAGCACCAGTCTAAATGATTGTCACAATAGGCCTTGTATGGTCGAAAAGTAAACAGGTCACAGAACTTAAGAGGTTCAATCGCCTACATGAAAGAGCATATTCGCTAAAAAATTTTCATGAACAATCAGCGGTATAGGCGGTATAGATTCATGTAGTAAATATGTAGCTTATAAAGCATCGTTCTTGTTGATATTCCCAGTAGACTTTGTATGATTATTTAGAAAATAGCTCACAAAATTTCCCGGTTTGAGCGGTCCAAATTGAAGAGTTTTAAAGCATTTCCCCATATCTGTACCATCAGTCGTATGAGAGCTGTAAGTAATAAACAGACAGACGGACATGGCTAAATACTCAGGTCGACGTTCTGATCATATTGGTATACTTTTTCATGGGTCTATCTCTGTTTTTCTGGTACTCAGAAACATCTTTTTCATAAAATGGATAAAAATGTGCAGCTTAACCCGATGCCAAGCGCTGAGATAAGAACGGCGGTGCACCAACTCCAACCAAGTCCTCAAAATAGATTATTGATGTTACTTCCTTGGCTCCGGGAAGTGGATAAGCTGTCACCGCTACAGAATTTGCCGGATTTAACATTTCGACATAGAAAACTTCGAAAATCTGTCTTAAGGAAACTTTATCGTCTACCCGTCTAAAAATAAGCCAGCTAAATGATCGGTGGAATCTAGTCATTGCGCTAATTTTAGGGAATCTCTTAGATGTGCAAACTAGCTTTAAAGCCCGGCCGCAACATTTCTTGGAGAATCATTGGAAATCAGCTCTACGCAGGAAGCAACTCACTTACGGTTCTCAATCAAAAACAGAAAAAATCCTTTTTCACAACAAAACTGAGACTAACTAAGTAATGAAAAGGCTGTAACGGTTTCACCACGAGTTACCCCACGATAAGACAAGACCCCAACCCAGCTGTTCAAATTCAGGCCGGATGTGCTCGTGAAAGATCAACTGAACTATTAAGGCTGCAGTAGCCAGATTAGGGTTGGGGAACTTTTGGTGGTAACTGAATGTGGCCGAATGGAAAAATATTACCGCCTAATCTAGCCGAAGTACTATGGAAGTGTATCAGAAATCTTATCAGCTATTTTATTAAACAGATAACTTATGATCTCGTTGGAAAATAAGATACGTTTTTTAAGAGTTGCCACCTGCTAAAAAAAATTAATTATATTAATTCGCGGACACTATTAAATTGATTTGAACGAAAGTTTGCCAGATTGGAAAATAGGCTAGATACTTTGTTGAGAGTTGCCATCTGCTTAAAAAGTTTAATTAAATTAATAAGCGGAAACGTCTGAACGGACTCGCATTAAATTTTGCACACAGATAGCTTATGATCCAGATTGGAATATAGGCTACTTTTTCAAGAGTTGCCACGTATTTGAAAATAAACTTTTACACACAAATTGTTTATGACCTAGATTAAAAAATACTTCCTAAACGGCTCGACCGATCTTTGAAAAATTTTTTGTGTATATATGGTAGGAATGAGAATTGGATGTAAAATATATTTCATACCGCTAGGTGCAGCGGGCGTGTCACTTCACACACAAATCGAATTTTCCATACTGCTCCGGAAGTGTTTATGGTAGAGTACTCGATCATGGCATGGAGATATGTATATGAAATCCATCCCATACTTTTATCGAAAATTGGGGCTATGGGATAAAGCGGCATGGCGCCTTACAAACGCACTGAAACTATTACGTATCTATAGATGCGTACACAATTTTGCTAGGTTATTTAAGACGGCAATGGAAATATGTCTTCTGTTTGGAGCCAGCTAAAAAAAGAAAAATTACTGCTTTAAAATGTTTAACCCGGCCAATAACTATTAAGCAGTTTTGGCGCCACTTAAGAGTTATCCTGCATTGCAACTAAAATCATTTTACAAATATTTTGCTAATTTTTTGTTTACATTTATCATAAACTGCATTAAAATTCTATGTTGCTTGTCCATTTATGGTAATTACAGTTGAAATAATTTAAACACAGTCCAAACAAAAACAGCCAAGTTTGAAAATTAAAGCAAAGCACAAAAATTCCACATCAGCTAACAAATCTACATAAGTTTGAATACGTAATCGAAAAAGTGGCAAACGCTTTGCGACAAACTAATATAAAAACTAGAAGTTGCTAAGTAAATTGTATCAGTACTCAAGTCACCCAACTTAGTAAAGCACAAACCAACTCAAAATGTCTCGCTTTTTCCAAATCCTGCTCATCGCTTGCCTGGCCGTCGCGCTCTGTACCGCTGAAGCGCCACGCTACCGCAGCCGCAACGGCCGCCTACAACTAGCCAAGCAACACAGTCGTTTCTTGGCACGCCAGGAAGTCGCCGAAGAAGCTGGTGTTACGCCATACCCCTCCGCCAAAGAATTGATACCCGAGATTCCATTCGATGAAGCTGCAGCTGCTGCTGCTGCACCGGAGGTACCCGTTGCGCCTGAAGCCGATGTAAATGTTTCTGTGAACTCTGCTGCACAGCAACCAGCTGATGACGAGGAAGAGGCGGTCGAAGCTGCTGTCGCTGATGATGCTGAGGGTGAACACGAGCCCGATCTCATCTATGGCCCACCAGAGGCTGAGGATGTGCCAGCTGTGAACGAAATCACACCCGTTGAGGAAATCGAAGCCACCATTGCCGAGGAAGAGGAGCAAGCTGAAGCCGCCGAAGCTGCTGAGGAGGAAGAAACCCAAGCTGCACGTTTAAAATCTGGTCGTCGCTTCAATGTAGGCAAATTTTCCGGTCGTCCAGCCAAGTTGCGCACTCCTGTGTCTACCCGTGCACGCACCACTGCCGTCAAGCCTGCACGCATTATCAAAGCCACGACATTGGCCAAAGCTCGTCCCGCTCGCCTACAGCAATTGCCACAACAACAACAGTTCTTGGTTCCCCAACAATTTTCCGCTCTTCAGCAGGCACAGCGACCCATCGTCTACTACTCCGCCGCTCAACTGCAGCAGTGGTAAAGCGGGCAAGCGGAAATAATTGAAGATATGACTAAAGGTTATAGCCTAATAGGGATGAAGAGTTTTCAGCGCTTTAAGTAAATACGAGAAGTATAGAAAATTGTTAACAGTTAAGTACGAGGTATAACACGAAAAATTGTTAAAGATTTTTTTAGACTGATAAATATAAACGATTATTTTGAAAAATGTTTGCGAAGCTTGCCTATCTTACTTCCCACAAGGATGACGCAGCACCTTCAGAGGGTTTGTGCCATTACGATCTTCTCGTTAAAATAAAATGTCAATGCACTTTTTAATAAAATAAATATGTTTATTTAGGCCATAGCTGACACCTCTCAATCACATTTCGCACAACACTATATTCGTTTGTTCGCTGATCACGAAATCTCACACCCCTTGCGAACTGCGCAAATACTCAAGTGGTATTTCAAAGTTCTCTATCTTATCCTCATCCGGTTGTGTCCGCTGTGATTCTGATCGCATCGGCTTCGCACCAATATACTGCTCCGACTGTTGCAAAGCCGATTTAATTTTCTGCTGCTGCGCCTGCTGTTCCGCCTCGGACTTTTGTAAGCGATCAAACTCTTCCTCCGGGTCCTGTTCATATTCATATTCGGCGCGAAAGCCGTCAGCACCAGCATCATCGTCCGAGGTGCTGGGGGGCAACTCTGCTGGTGGCCCATAAATTTCGTGCGGATTCGGCAGCTGTGGTCTGCCAGAAGGTGGTCTGATTGGCCATCTGACCGGCGGTGAGCCATAAAAGTCCACTGGGCGGCGATGTGGTACCTTGCCTTGCATGCGTCCGCCGCTTTGCGGCGCCCATGGCTGCCGGCCTTCGTTTGGCAGTTCGAAAGTTTGCGATGGCCGATAACCAGAGGGGCGATAGCCGCCTCTGCGCCGTGATTGCTCTTCATCAGCACCCGGTTTGTATCGGAAAGTCTGCGGGTATCGATGATGCAGCACGCGATGACGATGCCGCGCTAAGCGTGTGGACTCCTCAGCAGCGCTCAAGCTGACAGCAAGTATTAAAATCACAGCTATAAACATTATTTTTAACATTTTCGAGAGGCTCTTTGTGGCTTTCTTTTGCAGGTTTTCTGACAAATTTGTGATGCTCCGATTTGTTGTGAAGCCTTTATATGCGAAATTTAATGCGAAAACTTGGCAAGGCATCAAGTGGCTTACAAATGCGATAGAATATTGTTTTCTGTTTTGAGATTCTTTGTAAACATTTCATTTAGAAAAATATGGTTAATTAAATGCCAATTTTCCACCTGCCAACTCGGTTTGAGTCATATTGGCCGCCACTGTAACCTCCAGGGTGGCAGTGTCTGATTTGATTTGAGCACACGTGAACCGATTACTCTGCGTCCTCGAGTGTCAAATTGAGTTTTTGACTTATTTTTATCGCCTGAAACGTTAGCAAAAAATATTATTGTGTGTCGATTTTGACATTCGGACAGTGTTTAGGTTTAAGTGAAGAATATTGGGAAAGATGTAGTCAAGAGTTGCTGATGAAAAAGTGAGCTTTCTTTACATCATTTTATGCCACAAGAAGTAGCGATATATTTTCCTAAAAATTTTCATAAATTTTAACTAAACACTAATTTTTACCTAATTTTTTATTAAAAAAAAATCGTTAATCTCATAATTTCTTCCTATAATATAACTTTTTCCAAACATACTTTTTATTTTTTTTAATTGTTTTTCCCCAAATTGTTTTCCAAATAATGTTTTTTGCCCAAAGAAATAATTTTTTGCCCAAAAGTTATTTTTTTTTTTTNTTGCCACAAAAATTTTTTACTCAAAGTTACTTGTTTCCCTTACATTTTACCCTCAATAACTTATTATTTTTTTGTAGTCATATTGGCAAAAATAATTTTTTTTTTGTAAATGTTTTTTAATTTGCGTAAACACATCTCTTTATTAAAAGCCAGTTTTTTTCCTAAATTACATTTGTTACATTTGTTGTTACATTTGTTTCAATAATTAAAGTTACATTTTATTAAAACAATATTTGCAACACAAAAACTTGTTTCGAAACTCTTTACAAAAATATTTTTTTCTATAATTTCTTGATAAAAATAGCTTGATTCTAATAATAAAAAATACTATTGAAAACTTACGCAATACCCATATGAGTGGAATAACTTTTCGGACGGTATATTTTCCCTGGTCCTGAAAAAAAATTTACAAAAACTTTGCATTAAATTTTGGTAGTTAAAAATAGAACAAATCTTTTGCCAATTAACATCTGGAACAAATCTTTTGCCAATTAAAATCTGGACATAATTTTTTAATTATTTGAAAACTTAACACTTAGAAATAATACTGACAAGTGGATAAAATCCTTGGCTTTGAAATGTGTATAAAATTGCCAACAGTAAAATTATAAAAACGATAACCAAATGTTAAAAACGATAAAAACAGTTCAATCGTTCTATACATCTGCACACGTTATTTGCGTTATTCTGCTAAAACATTTAGACCATCAAAAAACACACACATTTGATCAACCACTGAACACTGTACCACCGTTTGG